CCAAACTTTTCTCCAGGAGTATTCTTTTTGGTGGTTATGGCTAATACTAACATATTGATAGCTACATTTTATGCCTATCAGAAATAATAATTTTTGAAAAGTATTGGACCAACTATTTTCATATTACTGCAATTTAGAGTGAAAGGTCTTACTCTCCCTCCTCTCTTTTTTTTACCAATAATGTATCTATGGCTCATATGCAAATACCTTCATAAACTTTGCAGCTTTCAACTGTCAAGTCTATCGGTTAGCAGGTTAATATAGCCTTCATTTTAGACCTTCTAAGAAGTCTGCTTAAAATACATTCATTGCCTTGAAACCAGAAGTAGACCATGCCAAACATTACTAAATTAAGCATGATAAAATTATGGACAAGGGCAAGTTCTTTAACTCTATAACATAGTGAAGCTTGCAGGAACAGATTACTTTCTCCTTAATTAAATTTTCATCTTAATTAGTCCCAATTATTTGCCTTTCCAAATGTTGTACTACAGGACCACTTGATTTACTTCACATCGTAGCAAATGTGTAAGGCTCACTCCCAGTCCAGAATCCCCGTCTTCTTTATCTGCCTTCTCAGATTTTTCTGTTGGGCATGTCTGTGTATGCATACATCACGGAGAAAATAGATTTGATTTAACAGAAGAAAACTGTTCAGCATCTTACTGCCTGTTGTAACATTTCTCACATACAGTTGAGCAGATGCTCATATTAATTTTTAAATAAATGTGTTACACTAAAATCATATTTACATTGCACTAAACATAAACAAGAAAATAAACTTTTTTTTTTAATCATGCAAAATAGATTGTTTTCCATTATGCAATTTAAGCTACATTAAGCAATTGCTGAGGACAAAGTCCTTAGACCTCCACTGATTCTGAATTCTGAATTCCCTATTCAGTTCTGCTACACAATTCTCACTTCATAAAGGGCTTCTAACTAATTGCTGCAAATAAAGGCCACCTTGTTGTGGTATACTGTAGTCATCTGTTTCCCCTTTCGATACAGTTAAGGATGCTTCCTGAATAATAAGTTGTAGCTTCTCACAGACATTTGCATTCAAACCAAAAGAAATAATGGAATCCTAGGGATTCATACAGAAACTAAAATGGCACTGTTGTACGTCAAATATATTTAATTTTTGCGAGTACAGTAAAGCTACATATGCCAATAAATATCACACTAATACATAAATGAGGAACAAATAAACTAACATGGAAAATTAAAATCAGATATGCCTGTTGCATAAATGACTGACATTTATAATGTGCAAGTGTGTGCGTGAATGATTTTTGTGTAGCATTTTAGAAAGAATTGGGACAGTTTTCAGTAATTTGGAAGAGGACCCACTTCACATTTATTAATGCTGTATTGTCTAGAAAAATGGTAAGGTCCTCACTGAGTCGTCAGATTTTTAGCTTAAAATGGCATTCTATTTTTTTTCCTAGTATGACCAAATTTTTATAAAATCATTTATATATGTATATATATTTTAGAATAAACAACTGCTATGTTGTAATTCTTATATTTTAACAGCAAGAGCCCTTTCCAGTGGAAAGCATTTCTATCAAAAAACAAAACAAACAACTGGTATTAAACAGCATGGCTATACAGAATAAAAAATTAAGAAAAAGTAGTTATAAAAAGCAGAATAGGAACAATAAGAAAGACTGAAACAAAGCATTAGTTTAAAAATAAAATACCTAAGCCAGGATAATAATAAATAAATAAATGTATGTTTTGGTTCTACTTCTGAATTTATCATGCAAATTTGAGATGAACGGTACCATAAAAGATGGTATATTAATGGTGGCAGTAACGCTGCAGATTAGGAAAAAAAAATCTGAATTATTGCTGAACTCAAAATATTACTTTGACTTTCTTTCTTCAAATATTAAATTCAGAACTGCTGAGACCCAAACAGCCTTCTTAGATGCCTCACCTGAAACAATATCTTTTCTCTTGTGTACATCTTCACATCTTTTATCTGATTCACTACTCCTTTTGGAACAGCTTGAACAAGGTTTTCCTAAGAAATATTGCAGACTTTTTGATCTTAGAATTGATAAGTTTCCCATGCATCTAAACTTTCCTTGAAAATCTTTTATTTCATTACTCTGAGGGTTTACTCTGCGGAGTAAACCTTAGCAAGTAAAACCAACAAGTCATGAAGCTGTTCACTTTAAATATTTCTCCTCTTATATAGGCTGTATATCATGTTCTACAGGCTCTTTCATGTATATGTTTCCTTCAGCATAATAGTCACTAAATAGTCACTGCCTTTAAGTAACTAGTTAAGATGATGTTACATACTATATATAAAATAATAACTTTAATATGTCACTGCCTTTCTGACTGAAGATCAACAAGCACCTAAACTTGTGGCTGCAGTTACTGCAGTTCTTTGTGTCATTCTACCATCCTTTTAACTATCTTCTTCACTTTCCTTTTGAATTCTGGCAGAAATCTGTCTACACAGATATTTTTTTTTAATTTGTTTTTGGAACAAAGAGGCAATTTCTAAAGGAAATTATGTTAAAGCCTAATTACAAAGAAAGAATAATAAGAAAAACTTTGCATATTTGGTGTTTGTTTTTTTCAAGTTATTAAATATGAATTAATATCAAAGATATTCCATTTAACATATACAATTGAAATGATTCAATATGTTATTGTACATTTTTATATTTTAAGATTGATTTAGGATAAAGCAGGCAGTTTTTCACTTCTAGATATTCCCTATTGGAGACTTTAGAGGAATATTTTATTCAACTGAAAGCTCTGACAATATTTCTCCTTTCTAATTGAATGAACATATCCACATGAGTAAACATACATTTAAAATTTACTTGCACAAGTGTTCACAACAGCAGTTAACTTTTAAATCTTACTCCTAAACCAGAGGGAATTTTAAGTACTAGGACCAAAAAGTGTCTTTCACCTCTCAAAACACTGGGGCCAATAGAATTCCCTATTGCTCAACTCTATGCATGTCATGCAAAAGTTTAATTTTGAAGGCAAATAACTGTGGAACATTTTTTTTAACATGTAAGTGTCAAGAGTATCATAAAGAGTCATCTGAAAGTAATTCTTGTGGACCATTGCTTGTCTAAGAAAACAGGTCGGTCTTTCTGTAAAAATTCAAAGCTTTCATTCTAGAATAAATCTAGGAAGCCACAGAAATTATTTCCTAGATTTATCTGTCTATCCATTTATTTATGTATCAGTTTGGGTCTGCTTCCAGGGGGTCCTAAAGCATGTCAATTGTGGTCTTCCAGAGATCCTCAGACTACAAATATTATATTTTGAAGAAAATGTTCAAAAGCAAATTTACACACATTTGTGCATTTTGTGTGTCTTCCTTCTGTACCACTTTTTTTTATTGTTGTTTTTGCTTAGGATCAAAGTTTTCACACTGTGCTATGTAGAATTCAGTACACATTATTGTTTGATAGACAAAACTGCATCACACTGAAATTCCCCAAGTCTATCCTCCCCATTCCATTTGGCCCAAATAAGTAGCTGGGAGCAGGGGTCTAAATTAAATAAGACTTGAGCCCATACTCCTGGGAGTGCTCTGCAGATTGCCCTAAACTGGCAGGTTGGTATTCTTGGTGTATGTATGTGAACATCGGTGAAAAGGTACAGCACTACATTTTATGGCATCCTGAGATGACAGATGTTGGAAATCAGCACACTTTCACTTCAGTAATGAGCAATGCATATTTATCCTGGTTAGAAGTCTGGATTAGACAGGTTTGCTCTGTACATATCAGTACAAAGTAGACAGGTTAGCACAGAAAGTATTTTGCACTGGGAGATGCACTCTCAGCCACTGCAAGGAGAGAGAAAAGCTACTGTACCTATCTTGAGCAAAACTGCCAGGGCTCAGTGGCTGGTCAGCAAATCTGAGGTGATGTGACACTATAAGAGCTGAGCAGCTGAGTGCATTGTGGTGTCTCACTGGCAGAGAAAGGCAGATGAGGCTTCAAGAAGCTACTAGGAACTGACAGAGCAGACTGATCAAGTCCAGACAGCATCTCTGGGCTTTCCACCTTGGGTTTGCTAACAGCTCAGTCTGATGACTAAGTGACACATTTCAGGTGACACATTTCCAGCTCTGTGAATCAGCATCTACACATGAGGTATTCATCAGGACATTTCAAGCCAGCTATATAATAGGATTTTTACTGAGTCGTTAATCGTCTTTATCGCACAGCCCTGCAGCAGTGCTCTGGACACAACCAAGACTGCGTCAGTGCCCAAAGGAGAAGCAGTGCTTATCTCCACAGGTTTACACTCTGAGGAGATAACTCTGATTACAGAAACTGGAAACAGACACAGAATGTAAAAATGGATGAATAACTTCCAAAGGCCACAGACACTTGCAGAGACTTTGTTAGGAAGTGTAAGCATGAGCACAAGGCAAGAGCTACAAAAGCAACAAGATGGCAGCAGAACAGGCTGGTGGGGCAGGAAGGCACAGCACAGCACAGCACCTGGAAAGCCACCAAAACTGCAAATTTGAGTGTGCTGACAGGAATTTATTTCCCTCAAAGAGTGGTACAGGAGAAAAGTTTACTTCTCTCTGGAAATCTTCCTTTTTCAGGAATATTTCTCAAGAGGAAACTGTCACGCTCTTAGATTAAATTTAGAATTGTTGACAGGAATTCTATCACTTCTCTGATGATATTTTTAACTTTTAGATCTTACTGCTATAGAAACATACTGTTCTGTGCATTTTTACATCTTAACAATGCAATAATATTTTCTCAGAATTTATTGCAAGCACTAAATGCTTGCAATATAATTTTCTTATGATGTCTATCATATTTATGCAGATGCTCATCTAAAGGCTTCAGTAAGTAATAGTTATCTAAGAAGAAGCTTTTTGATTAATGAGTCAAAATAATCAACCACAGACCTGAGAATGGAGCAAAGCAAAATGTGAGTTATATAATTTATAATTGTCTCTCTCTCTCTTTTTTTTTTTTTTTTTTTTTAAAAACAAAAACAAGTAATTCTTCAGTTGTAAAAGATTATATAAGAAAGTTTTGAACTGGATATTGCAAAGTGAAATCAAATTGCCAGTTGCTAACTTAGGCAAGGCCCTAGTTTGGCACAGACAGTTTAGGTACAGAAGAAAATAAGCTTTGCATCATTAGTATACTTGATTAACTATTGTTGCTTGCTTTCCTCAAGTTCATCCCCTTTTTCCCTCACCCTGAGGTTAGAATTATTAAGCCTGAAGTGCTAGTAATGGAAATAAAGCCTTCCATAAAACAGTAAGAAATTACTTAAACAATTTAAATAATTATCCTAAACCATGTCCTCCCAAACAAAGGAAATCAGAATAAATCAAAACTAACATCTGCTATGGATCTGTAGATTTTGTAGGATAATGCCAGAAATAACAGATACAATTTGGGATATTTATTAAGTAAGTTTATAGGAATATATCAATGTCCAGTTAGAGTAATGTATTTTTTGCCATCCAGTATGCAGCAAGAGATCCAAATGGAAATGGAGCTACCTAATCTTCAGTTATATTCTTCCCAAAAGGAAAGACTTTCGTCCTACCCTTCAGCCTACCTCCAGTGCTACTGTTATCCTGGATTTTGGATTATTTGTCAATCTCAGTTTATTAATGCAGACAGGTGAATGTCAATAAGGTATGAGGCTTATCATGGTAACTTTCCATTTGGCATTTTACAATTTGCAGACAAATAAAACTCTTCATGTTATCTGCAGTAGTTCCTCATTGAGACGAGGGATCACTAGAGGTCACTTTCCACCAGCAGCTGGATGATTGACAAGTAAGCTCATTGAAATCCTCCTCTGGGCACAGAAAAAGTTAGGGAAAGGGGATCCAGGATAGTGGCAAACAAGAAGGAGGAAGGAAAGAGCAGAGAAATGCCAAGTCTGCATAATAGCATAAACCTAATCTTCACTGCTTCCATGTACCCACCAAACTGGGACTTTGACAAAAATAATAAACTGCTTGAGAGCAATATAAGGCATTACACTGCAAGCTTCCAATTACTGTTCAAAATAAAATATTAATAAAAAGGAAGTATGTATAACAACATCATAATAATCACAGATATCAGCTACCACAATGTAAATACTGAAATACCATACACCAGAACTTAAAAAAAAAAAAAAAAAAAAAAAAAGTAAGCAAACAGCTATATCTGCCAGGTCTGAATAAGAAAGTTTAGGATGGAGCCCAGAATATACAGTACACAGTAGCTGTCTTAATAGTAATATTTAAACTGCCAAATTCAATATCTTGCAAGGAAGAAATCTATCAGACTACAATACTTTGGGAGATTAAAAAAGCAAGCACACAAAAACAAAATATCTGAGAATATTAGTTACAGAGGTTTTGGAAACCTAGTGGGAATGAGTAAATCTTAAAATATTGTATACTAAGAAATTTTCCCTATCATCAAGTCATTCTATAATAATCTCTACAAGGTGCTTGTGCCTTCTTTTGGTACATCTTCTTCTGTCAGGAACTGCATATTGGACTCCACATATCACTAAACTTGCTTCTCAGCTCAACTTTTTTTCTAACCAGGAGAAAAAACAGATAATGAAAAAAATAAAGCAATAATCACTTAAAGGGAAGAGAGAACAGAAACCTCTTTACTGTATTTACTACTCTGGCTAAGAAAATCAAGTAAAAGAGAATGTAAAGGCAGGGTTAGAAAATAAGTTGGAATATTTTAGATATAACAATGAAGAAACACCATAGATCCTCAGAAACATGTTCATAAAATGATAAACATTTTAATAGCAGTGAAAACCTAGATGTCCCTTTGAGGTTTTATTTGTTTATATTATTCCATTAGCTTATTAATTTATATTGATTGTTTGTAAAAATAGATATATTTTTTCAGATTCTTTTTTTTTTTTTTTTTAATTTTTGTTTTGTTTTCTGCATAAAAAAGATAACTTAATTGTCTACTGGTGACTGCTTTAGGTACAGTGCTGAGACATTATGATCTTAACCTGAAAGATATATCTAGTTAAATTCACAGTTTCATGTCTAAGATCAACAAATATTAGTCTAAGCTATCAATTAAAGTCAAACTATTTTGTAAATGCATACATATATGTTATGACTAAGGGTTTTGTTTTGTTTTGAAGACCACTTTTCAAATGGAAATATGTTCTAATACCTCCCCTGCAAAATGAGCTGGAGCTTTTAAAATTTACGCAGGAAACTTCAGTGCAGGGGAACAAGCTTTAATGTCTTTATCCTTTAAAGCCATCTAGAAGAAAAATACATCTCTCCTCCCTTTCCCTAAAAGAATATTCCCTCTAGAAAACAACCCACAGGTGGGGTTTTGGGCACACTTGTCACCTGAAGTCCTCATTTTTGCCCATTGCAGGTCTTCGGGAGTCCCCAGAACCTCTGGTTCCAACTACTCCCCTTCCAGCCATCCCCCATGAAGATCCACCACAATTGTTTTTCTGATAGCAAAATACAGAAGGAGGAAGATCTGTAAAGGTAAGGCAAGGAGAAAACAAGGCTGAGTATCAGTCATAGAAACTAGGCAATGATCCCAGTCACCCTGTCTCTGCAGAAAGAGGTGTCCAGGTTCACCCACATTTTTCCTAACCCCAGACTGTCTCTATGAAAGAAACTCCTTGCTCTCTCCCCAGCTGATGAAACAGTCACACTGAGGGCATGGCCTGCTTCTCCCAAGTCGTACCTGACTCCATATCTCCTGGCATTTTCACTGGGGGCCTGGTCTCTGCTTATGAAAAATTCTTTCAATTAGCCCTCCAAAGACAAAAAAAAAAAATCAATGACTGACTTAGGAAAAAACAGATGAATGCATGGAAGCCCTTCATGGAACTATATGGTAGTAACAGTTATTCAGTTATTTCTTTTGGACAGACATATTAGTAAATATGTTAGCAATTTCAGAATGACTGAATTTGGCAAAACTTTTCAATTAAAACTTCTCAAAGAGAAGGTAATACTTAACCTGATACTTTTGATTTAGGTGTTTATGAGTAGAAATAATAACAATATGTTAAAATGGCAATAAAGTGATTTTTTTTTTTTTTTTTTTTTTTTTTTTTTTGTGCAGGCTATTTTTGAAGAGTGAAATAAACAACTAAATCAAGTTTTATACTTAAGGACATACTTTCCATCTAGTTAAGACTGTCTCCTTTTGTTATGAGTAGAGAAATTGCATAGACTTTTTTGTTTATTTTACTGAATAACGACAATTCATATCAAACCATGTCTCCTTCCCCCACTTTTCATTAGTATCAAAAATGGCATTATTTACACAGCCCTACCTATGACAGTAATATATATGTCAATACACACTGTATGTAACAAGAAAGACCTGCCACTATGCATCATTTCAACACTTTAAAATCGTTTTAAAACATTTGATGAACATTATTATTGAAAGACCTTTTGCTTTAAAAAAAAAAAAAAAAAAAAGGAAAGAAAATATTTTTCTCATCAGTTTGTGACAAAATGAAAGGAAATGAATAATCCACACTGTCAACTAATCTCCTGTTAGTTTTAACTCACAGTGACGTTTTTTAAATGACAGTGTCTGGCAGAAGATTGTATTTTATTTGTTTCTTTTGCAATAGAAGAATTAAATATATGAAATGTCACCCAAAAGTATTTTTGAAGAACTTGGCCACATTCAGTGTCAAACATAGGTGTGCAAAGTTATAATTTTGCAAATTCCCAGAATAGTCTTACTCCTTGCAAACATCACTATCCTGGAGAAGTTAGGATTTTACTAAATCACAAAGGAACATTTAGATAAAATTGCTGTAATAACCAGTGGTTACTGCTTTCAAGTCTTTACAGTTGCCAATTCTATGCAACAACATCTCTCTCACAAATTAATGGAGAAGTGGTTATGGGATAACAGTTTCCTTAGGAATTTAATTTATCCTTTCAGTAAAGATATCAATGTTCGCTCAATTTTTAATAGCATTTTCAAGCTTCAACACATCTTAGAATAGATAATTATCTTAGAATAGATAATTATCAAAGTGATCAACATTTACATTGCTTATGAATTCCTGCTACACCAAAATCATTATATTTACACATTTACAGTTACAAGAGATATGTGGACCTGTGGACATTTTGCTCAGTAATCTCAGTTTTGTAGAATGAAAGAAACAAAGAGAAATGCAAATACTAACGTACAACAAATACAAAATGATTACTTGGATATTGGATCATCCACAGGAGAATCTTTCCACTGGGAATTGCATTATATTATTATGAAGAATAACTTGAAAAATATTTATGTTATCTAAGTAGGCATTTGATAAAACTTCATGATCAACTTCCATTATTTCTGTCAAACTAAACCTAATGAAGAGTTAAAAAGATCACTTAAGTTGTTGTTGTTATTATTATTATTATTATTATTGTTGTTGTTGTTGTTGTTTCTGAACATTCTATTTAGCAAGAAAAAGGGAAATACAAGAACCTAACACTAACAACTCTGACTTGTTAGGAAACTTAAGTTGTTTAGGCATTATATTCTCAATTACTTTACTCAATAAGTTCTTGCCTACAAAATATATATCCATAAAACCTTGCTTAGAAATCAAGATTAGACTTGGAGCAATTAGGTGGATTGTTTGGATTTCTCTTGAAGTGGAATGAAGATTAGTCATTCAGTTGATTACAATAACAGCAATTATTTGAAAACAAATGAAAGGCACTGAACACCTACATTTCTATATTGTCTGAAGACCTGAGAAGTCTGACAAAACAATGTGTTCAAAAATTATAATTAGTAAAAGAAGTGCTTATTTGCAAATGTAAAGAGGACAATATTGAACAAACAGATGTTAGAAGGAAGAAAACAATTATTCAGAAAAATCAGTGAATATAAAATTCAATCTCTGCATTGCATAAATGACATCTAAGATTGAACTTGAATGTGACATAAGGAAGAGACTGAACTGCAAAACAAAAAGATGCCAGGTAATAAAAGCAGTTATGGTTTCTTCAAAACTCTCTAACATGCACTCCAAAATGAGTCAAACCAAAAGTTTATATTTTACCTTAAATTACCAAGAGATGAATAATCACTAACAGAAGATCATGTTCCCAAAGAAAATAGGTTTCTGATATTACTGAAGATGAAACCATTTCAGATTATTACAGAAGAGACAATATGTAGAATACCATGCATTAGTACAGAAGCGAACACCTCCAAAGAGCCTGCTGTAACTGCCTGACAACTATGAGATTTGTATAGCAATTTGCATCATTTGCATGGAAGGAACACTTGAAAAGAAAAAGTATATAGGAGGAATAAAACCAACTGTGGTATTATTATCAGAAACAAGAAAAGACCTTTGGAACTAACACAGGACAACAGACAGAAGAGGTAAAGCATCACCCAGAGATTATGACAAAAGCAGAAAGCGAATAACAACTTCAGAAAATACGTTTGTTTTGTTCTTTAGCAGAAGAATCATAGAGGATGAATTCTGCTTGCACACAGTTGTGGGTTAAAATGATTCTCACATAGTGAAAACAGAGCAACTGGATGGTGGAGTAAAATGTTATTTTAGTGAATATGAAATAGTCCTATGTATAATGCGTGTGGTGATCACAGCTTCTCTTGATTATGTTTCCACCCAGAGAAATCAACACAGTTCTTCATTAAGGAAATTTCTCAGTCTGGGAACATAAAGAACATTGATGTGACAGAGATTCAAGCTAAGAAATTTAATGAGAATTTGAATTTATGATTCTTTTGACATGTGCTGTCTGAGTTGCTACTAAAATAAACAATTCTCTGAGAAATGAAGCAAAATAAAGTCTTAGAACCCTGATCCAGGACAAATGAGAGAAGCTAGCTTAGTAAGATGAAAGATAAAGATACTGAGCAAATGAGAAAGAGAAAAGATGGTGTGGTAATTATAATTCGGGGGGGGAGGGGAAGTACTGATCATTAGAAAGAGATTACTATAAAAGTTACTTTATATCTTAAAGAAGGCATCATTTCATACGCTTAAAAAGAAATCAGAAATCAAAGTTGACATGCAAGATCAGGATTTTTTTTTTTAACCTAAATTAGATAAATTTCTGTCAAATATTACTCATTATTGAAAAATTTAAGTTTTAGACTGACCTGGTTTTGCAAATATATTTATCTGTGAAATTTAACCACTGTTGTCATTCTCAAATGATTTGTTTACCTACTAGTGGGTGTCAGCCTCCGAAGAGATCCAGGGTGCTTTGTGGAAGAGTTTAGGAAGCAACATGAGGAAGTCTGAGTTTTTCATTGGAGGGACCAGAGAACGGAGTTTGGAGAGTAGGGTACATTTTAAGGAACAAAAAAAAGCACAAACAAATGAAAAACATCTTCCAGGGTACCAAAGCAGGGTTAAAGTTACGTCAGCTTTTATTACTGATATTCCTACTATTGAAAAAGAAAGTGGGACACATCAGGCATGTCAGTAATGCCTCTTTCCTCTATTTGCCTTATCTACTGTATTGAGTGCATGGCTGATACAATCAAGTACAGGGCAGCCAGGCAGAGAACAGACCAATGGGAACTTCATCAAGTCCAAAAAGAAAGAAGGTCCTGCACCCACGATGGATTAACATGTTCCACAGTACAACACCAACTGGCTCGCTAGTGGCTCTGCAAAAAAAGGAGCAACTTGCATCTGAGTCAGAAAGGCTGCACTGTATTTCTGCACATGCATTTGGGCTGTTAGCCAGGTTTTTGGTCCTACTGGCAATGAAACATGCTGGTCAGTGCTTGCTGAAAGTTCCCAAAACTGCAACGAGAGTTTGCATGACCAATGCCCACCACGCATTAGGACCTACAAGACATTTCTGGACCTCAAACTTCGAACACATCAGGCGTGTTAAAGCAAAGGTAGGTTTATAGAGCTGTAGGTTTTCCTGAGGGTGTGCTGGTCTACATTTACTGGTTATATCAATGAAGATTATTCTTCTAATTATTCTAGGAGAAAACTATAAAAAAAATCATCTTTCACATAAAAACTTAGGGAGAGAGATTCTCAACTTTAGTAAGTAAACACTGCTCGTGCAACTAATTAGCATGCTTGTGCACTGCTGCTGTAGCTAGCAATGGTTAGATGCAGAGCAAAATATATTTTGAAATGATTTTATTTACATTAACTTTCCCAAATATATTTGCTGGAGGATCCCTATGTGATTAGATGCAAAACCTTAGAAAAATCAAGTCAAAGTTGCCACTCTTCTACATATAGAAAAGTTCTGATCTAGAAGAAGCCTGTACTAAGCTGATAAATGTCAAGAAAAAAAATACCGTTCCGCAGAATGGCCTTGAGAAGTATTTATGAGCCTTCTCACAAGATGATACTATATTCCATTCCAGACCTGCTCATAGCTCTTTAACAAGTCGCTTGTCCTTAATGGGAAAATCTTTCACATATTACTTTGATCTTCAAGTAATTTCACATAAGATACATGAATGCCATTTCGTATCAT